GATAGCACAATAAGAACAAAGTTTGTTAGCCACAAAGAAAATTTTGATTTTACCAACTAAACTGTAGATTGCTTTATGGGACTGCTGCACTGACCACTAGCCATAAGCAAACTGGTTTGTCTGAAATTGATATATACTAAGTGACATGTAAATCCGAACACCCAGTTTAAATGGTTTTATTTCAATAAAATTTTGTATAAGTACTTAATGAAGTATAATAAGTAATTGATAAAAATTTCAAAATGATTGCACTGCTTTAAAGTCCTTTGACCTTTAATAATGTGTGGATGCACCCTGATGTGCTACGTATTCTCCAACGCGCCTAGGCATGCTTCTGATCAGGTGGTCAATGTCCTCCTGTGGTATCTCATTCCAGGCAACCACCAACTCCTCCCGAAGTGCTTCTAGAGTCTGAGGAGGACGTTGCAAATTGAGCAATCTCCTACCCATCATATCCCACACGTGCTCAATTGGGGATAAGTCGGGAGATCTGGTGGCCATGGTAACAATGTGACATCATTATGTTGAAAGAAGTCTATTGTGACTCTTGCAACATGTGGTCGGGCATTATCTTGTTGGAAAGTTGGATCTGCCAGGGTGTCAAGATAGGGTAAAATATGGGGTTCTAGAACTGAAGATTAAAGGTGACCTGGAACCATAAGCTATAGCACCCCAAGCCATAACTCCAACAGTGTGATGAACATGTCTTTCAACAAAAAACTGTGGATTCCTCCTTTCACCACGTCGCCTTCTAACCCTTACACCGACGTAATCGCCTTGAGTGGTGCAGACAACGGTGACTCTGGGATCAGGAATGGAACAGTATTGTCTTTAGTGACGAGTCTCGATTTTGTGTCATATTGTTACCATGGCCACTAAGATCTCCCGACTTATCCCCAATTGAGCACGTGTGGGATATGATTGGTAGGAGATTGCTCAATTTGCAACGTCCTCCTCAGACTCTAGAAGCACTTCGAGAGGAGTTGGTGGTTGCCTGGAATGAGATACCATAGGAGGACATTGACCACCTGATCAGAAGCATGCCTAGGCGCGTTGGAGAATGCGTAGCACATCAGGGTGCATCCACACATTATTAAAGGTCAAAGGGCTTTAAAGCAGTGCAATCATTTTGAATTTTTTATCATTTACTTATTATGCTTCATTAAGTACTTATACAAAATTTTATTAAAATAAAACCATTTAAGCTGGGTGTTCGGATTTATAGGTCACTTAGTATATATTCGTAAGTCTTGTAAACCATTTACTTCTTAGAAGTAAGGTGGTTTTTTGTGGTAACAATTCACCGAGCTAAGTATAAGTATTAATTTATTCCGCAAATAAATACTGGCTAATATTGAGCATATTCATTTTTAGGAAGTGAACTATTTGCTTGTTGCAAACATATGAAGACATCATTTTTTGTCGCTTTGAGTAGCACTCCTGGCACCTGGCATGAACACATCTAGTCAAAAGCGGCAGTTGCTGGGAAAAAACTAAGCTATTTATTTAGGTACTTTCCTCCACATGATGTCCTTACTGTGAAGGAGGCCCAGATATGACCCAGCCTCGAGGTGCTGCCACCCCAACTATATTATCCATGCTCGACGCTGTTCATTATTAACGTTAAGGTGGGATATATCAGTTATTTCAACCACTTTCTATTTATCAGTAGAGCTAAAACCTGTTAAATTATGCTCAGAATTCTAGTACTGCTAGTCATTGTTGCATTTCCTTTGTCATTTAGTGTATTCGCTATTGCTATATCATCTACTACGTGACAATAACCTCAAGCTCACTATATACCTCGTCCCACACATCCAATAAATCGTGAGAGCTGTGCGTGATATTTCGTGAAATATGTTCTGCCGGGAAAGAAGTTAGGAAGTTGAGTGGAAATAGACTGGAAATCGGATTTATAAGTAATATAGGTCAGAAGCAATAGAAGCCCAGATAGCTACTTTTCTTGTACTCAAGCAAGCTGAAATACAAAGCCTACATGTCTTAGTACTGCGACTGATGCAAAATTGTTGATGAGCTATGCAGTCGCAGATAAAGAATATAATTAAAAATTCATTTTCATCCCCGAGGAAATGGATCCCCAAAATGGGTTATACCTCAAAAAAATACTCTGTTATAGAGACAATTTATAGGCTAGGTGGCTTGGTGTGAGAAAGCTTCTGAAGGGGTGGCAGCTAAAAAAATATACTTATAAATTCATTTTCACTCCCAAGGAAATTATTCCCCAAAATCAGTTGTGCCTCAAAAAAATACTCTATTATAGAGACAATTTATAGGCTAGGTGGCATGGTGTGAGAAAGCTTCTGAAAGGGTGGCAGATTAGCAAATATGTTTATAAATTCATTTTCACCCCCAAGGAAATTATTCCCCAAAATCAATTGTTCCTCAAAAAAAGACTCTATTATAGAGACAATTTATGGGCTAGGTGGCGTGGTGTGAGAAAGCTTCTGAAGGGGTGGCAGCTAAAATATATACTTATAAATTCATTTTCACCCCCAAGGAAATGATTCCCCAAAATCAGTTGAAGCTCAAAACAATACTCTGTTATAGAGACAACTTATATATGTTGGGTGGCGTGGTGTGAGAAAGCTTATGAAGGGGTGGCAGATTAGCAAATATGTTTATAAATTCATTTTCACCCCCAAGGAAATTATTCCCCAAAATCAGTTGTGCCTCAAAAAAATACTCAGTTATAGAGACAATTTATAGGCTGGGTGGCGTGGTGTGAGAAAGCTTCTGAAGGGGTGGCAGCTAAAAAATATACTTATAAATTCATTTTCACCCCCAAGGAAATGATTCCCCAAAATCAGTTGAAGCTCAAAACAATACTCTGTTATAGAGACAATTTATAGGCTGGGTGGCGTGGTGTGAGAAAGCTTCTGAAAGGGTGGCAGATAAGCAAATATGTTTATAAATTCATTTTCACCCCCAAGGAAACGATTCCCCAAAATCAGTTGTAGCTCAAAACAATACTCTGTTATAGAGACAATTTATAGGCTGGGTGTCGTGGTGTGAGAAAGCTTCTGAAAGGGTGGCAGATAAGCAAATATGTTTATAAATTCATTTTCACCCCCAAGGAAACGATTCCCCAAAATCAGTTGTAGCTCAAAACAATACTCTGTTATAGAGACAATTTATAGGCTGGGTGGCGTGGTGTGAGAAAGCTTCTGAAAGGGTGGCAGCTAAAAAAATATGTTTATAAATTCATTTTCACCCCCAAGGAAATGATTCCTCAAAATCAGTGGTAGCTCAAAACAATACTCTGTTATAGAGACAATTTATAGGCTTGGTGGCGTGGTGTGAGAAAGCTTCTGAAGGGGTGGAAGCTAAAAAAATATACTTATAAATTCATTTTCACCCCCAAGGAAATGATTCCCCAAAATCAGTTGTAGCTCAAAACAATACTCGGTTATAGAGACAATTTATAGGCTGGGTGGCGTGATGTGAAAAAGCTTCTGAAGGGGTGGCAGCTAAAAAAATATGTTTATAAATTCATTTTCACCCCCAAGGAAATGATTCCTCAAAACCACTTTCCTTAGGTATGCTGAATGAAACCGTTTTGCCATTTTGCTAACTTTGTCAGGATTTGTCAACGGGTTTGTGTGTATTTACATCTACAATGCCTTGTGTTCAATAACTTAATAAGAGTCTACACAAAAAAACTCAATTACTAAATCATGTTGGTCTTAAGAAGACAAAGAAAATTATCGTTGTATGTGTTATCAGTTATAAGTTTAATAACTTCCAATTTATTCTCAATCTGAATATCCTAACATAGTTGTTCATAATTTTGTTGAAACTCCTAAAATTATTCACTATTACTTCGGTTGTTATATATTAGAGGGTGATTCACAAGTCGTGGTCAAAAATGAAACCTCATACACAGGACCGCATTCATTAAAAAGAGACCGGGTTTTGAGGTTCAAAAATAAAAACCAATTTTTTTAATATATTCAAAACCGTCAACTAAGATTTGATATCAGGTTTTACCTAAGTATTGTCCACATTCAAAAGTCTTCACAACGTGCACCAGTGGCGAAGAAACAGGGGATTAGTAGCATTATTTTTCGAAATAAAAATAGTACGCCACTGTTTTTTTTTTCGAAACGCCGAAATTTGCCTTCAGTTTGCTACAAATGATTACTCTTGTGTTTTTTCCGGTTTTCGTAGAATTGATTTCAATGTTTTTTCCGGTTTTCGTAAAATTGATTTCAAAATAAAATAGGAGGCCTTGATACCAACTTGACGTTTCTTGGGAGATAGTTTGTCAATGTTATGTGTTATACGGTTGTTGTCGTTACTACTACCAAAATATTACATAGAAGACCCCCCCTTAAAATGCGGTCCTGTGTATGATGTTTCATTTTTGAACACGAATTGTGTTGTGTTGTTGATGGTTTTAACAACTTTTGCCAAATCTCACAACTTAGTACTAGGTCCCTGTATACTACCTCTCTGCCCCCGTTACGTTCATGCCAGTATGGCATTTGAGGCATGCTTCGATGTCAACTCTTGAAATTTCATCTAAAATGATCTGGTGGGATCTTGTGCAATCTAGACACTATAAGGTCTAATAACTAATTCTTGAATACGTGAGGTAAATCCAAAGGTTATACTATATACTGTACGGTGCTTTTCAAAATAATTTTTAACCACCAATTTTTTGAACGAGCCGAGTTAACAACCAAAAAATTTGCCGTGATGAGATGCATGTATATCATAATTTCGCGTATTTCATCCGTATATTTACTTGACGTTAAAGGAACCGAGTAGTAGCAAAAATATTTACTTTTCTTATTCAACTGATCCAGAACGATGAAAAATATCTTCCTACTTAGCACCTATAGCATATTCAATATCTATACTGCCCACACACTATCCAACATACTTGAGAGCTACTTATCAATAACTGCAACCAATAGGATTAGGCTTGAACCCACATTTGATTTTCCATGCTACACTTACCATTGAAATATTTACAGGAAAAGATCGAGTATATCTTTTTAGTGATATTCACGATGGAGTGCTTCATGAAAATCCTCGCGTATGGATTTTTGATGCATCCAGGGGCGTATCTACGGAATGGCTGGAATTTGCTCGACTTCACAATCGTAGTTATAGGGTGAGTACACTTTTATTTCACACCTTTAGAATTTTCAAAAAGCAATCACTATGACAACGAAAAGAGCTCTTTAGCTTGTGAGGATTGATTCATTGGCAGTGGAGTAAATTACATGAACCACTTGACTTGGAAATAAAATTACTTGGAACGTTAATGCTTGACTTGACTTGATTGTTTTATTGTTCTATTTGACTTGAGGTCAAGCATTTTCAATTTACTAGATAATACACTGCAAGGATGAATGGCAACATTCGCAATGCACAAGGTGAGAATGAACTACCTTGAAAATGAATCTGCCTGCCGCGAAAATCTGGATGGGGCATCACTGAAACGAGGGATGTGAGCTTTATTAGAAATAACGGCCATAATGTGGAATACAATATGAGTATTTGATTGCCCTTAATGCTGAAATATGTTTCGGTTTATGGGACATGCTTCCACGCATACTATAAAAAAGACATCAGATCAATATACTAAAACTAAAATACGATCTTATGACCTTCGGTATTAAGTATTCGTCCCGCGTATGATCGTAAATTACTGGTTTCCAGAGTGGCAGGTATAGAGCACTTCAACCTTGGATTTTTTAATAAAATATACTCATTGACAAAGAAAATAGAACAACCAGTAAAAATTATGTTTCCTTTGCTGTGCCACCTCACTGGGGAAGGAAGGAGAAGGAATAGGAAAAAAAGGAAAAAAGGAAGCGGAAGAAAGAAGAAAGAGAAGGAACGAGAAGGAAGGAAAAGGAAGGAAAAGGAAGGAAAAGGGAGGAAAAGGAAGGAAAAGGAAAGAAAAGGAAGGAAAAGGAAGAAAAAGGAAGGAAAAGGAAGGAACTGGGGCATCACTGAAACGAAGGATGTGAGCTTTATTAGAAATAACGGCCATAATGTGGAATACAATATGAGTATTTGATTGCCTTTAATGCTGAAATATGTTTCGGTTTATGGGACATGCTTCCACGCATACTATAAAAAAGACATCAGATCAATATACTAAAACTAAAATACGATCTTATGACCTTCGGTATTAAGTATTCGTCCCGAATATGATCGTAAATTACCGGTTTCCAGAGTGGCAGGTATAGAGCACTCCAACCTTGGATTTTTTAATAAAATATACTCATTGACAAAGAAAATAGAACAACCAGTAAAAATTATGTTTTATGTATTAAAAAGGAAGGAAAAGGGAGGAAAAGGAAGGAAAGGAAGGAAACGGAAGGGAAAGGAAGGAAAAGGAAGGAAAGAAGGAAGGAAGGAAAGGAAGGAAAAGGAAGGAAAAGGAAGGAAAAGGAAGGAAAGGAAGGAAGAAGGAAGGAAAATGGGAAAATGAAGGAAACAGGAGGAAAAGGAAGGCAAAGGAAAGGAAGGAAAAAAGGAAGGAAGGAAGGAAAAAAGGAAGGAAAAGGAAGGAAAAGGAAGGAAAGGAAAGGAAAGGAAGGAAGGAGCGAAAAGGAAGAAAGGAAGGAAAGGAGAAAAGGAGAGAAAAAGCAGGAAGAACGAAAAGAAAGAAAAGGAAGGGGGAGGAAGGGAAGGAAGGGAAACGGAAGGGGAGAGAAAAGGAAGGAAGAAGTGGAAACGAAGTGGACGGAATTGGAAGGAAGGGAAGAATGGGGGGAAAAAAGGGGCAAAAGAGGAAGAAAGGACTGGCGGGGCACGACTGGTTAGCCATGGAATAGAGCAGAGTATGAGAGCAACAATATGGTCGAAATTTAAGAGATGTATAATTCATACTGTTGAATTTCCCATTCATATAGCATATCCTTTAAACAAACCTACTCCAATAAGTGTTCAAGTTATTTCAAAAATTTTCATCGTGCCTTGTAATCTTCTCCTAAAGTTACCTTCTGCTATTTCGTGACATCCTGTGAACCAGAAGTGAAAATATAATTTCTTCTGAGGTGTATGTATGCTTATGCGATTCCACTAGAGGGTCCATCATTATTGATGAGCTCCGTAGATCGTGCATGGCCATGAAAGGAGTATCTCGAATAGAGGTGTACATAATGCATTATAAACCAATACGGCCTCTGTAAAATTCGCTGCGAAGCAGTATCCTTGAATAATAAATACAATACCATCGCTGCAAAGTCCCGCAACAGAAAGTTTCATATTTTTAGAAGCAAAAGGGAAAATCTTTGTAGAATACAGAATGAAATACTGTGAGAACGAGAAACCGTAACGCCGTGTAACACTGTTTTATAATGGACGGGGTCGTATTTTATTTCAATACTGGCAACACTATGAAACAAATAATCTCCACCGAACCAAAATGGAAAAACAAAACTTACTGACATTATTTACACGTGGTATAAAATTTAGCAATTCATATAAAAAAGTTTATGTTAAAATTAATTTCGGCATCGCTTCTAAACAGTTTTGGTGAAAAAATAATTACCTTTTTTATGGGACATCCAGCTTGAAATATTGACAACTTTTAAAATTTTTCACGAATGAAATGTTCCATATTTTATTACGTATTCGGACAGGTTTTTCCTAGAGATTCTGACGAAGTCAAAATTTGTCATATTTAAGAAGTTATATTCCAGGATTATGAAGTACCTATAAGCAACTGAAATGCGGTATCACACGACCCCCTGTTTCATTTGAACTGCCTCTTTTGAGCTTAACTGTAGTATTCATGCGTCAACTTAATCACTCAGAATCATAGCTTGCTAATTTGACCCGTTCCAGAAAAGCACTGTGTATACACCACCTATACATATATTCTGCAAAACCTAGATAGCCCTTCCCCTTACGAAATAACGCTGAATTCCCAACATTGCCTTCCGAGTAAATATAACTCCTTATATTCACGTCCCATAACTGTATGAGAAGAGAATATAAGCACGAGGAGAGATGACGGATAATTTTCAATTAAGTACAATAACAATTCTATCATGCTCCAGAGACTGTACAGGCTGTCTAGCCATCTGGAGAGAGGCATGTGTGGACAATATAGCTTCTTTGTTTCCTGTATAATGAGGAACAGGTAACATGGGAATTCGCTAAGTGAATGGGCGAGATATTGAATTTTCTGTGACTTGCTAAAAATGACCCTCCGTCAAGCTATTTCTTCATTATTTATTTATGATGATATACGTTTATTGGACTCTACTGTTTGAACGTTTGAATTAGTTTTCATTGACGTTGCGACCATCACGGTGGCCTTTTTTAAAGTACACATGACAATAACAATATATTAATGTCTTCCAGGAGGACAGATAGATGAACATGAAATATATTATAGACCCCACGTGGAATGCTACACGACTTAGTTTAGTATTAAAAGAAGTACTTCACCTTGAAATTCAAAAGTTTTCTAGCCTCAAATTGCTTATTTGGCCAACCGTCGGTTTATGTGAAATGGTCGCGAGTTATACAGGGTGACTTTGAAGTTGAGTCATTAATTTTCAGATAATGATTGTAGAAGGAAGATAAACCAAAATAAAAAAAAATGTTACCTTGTTTTATAAAGTATCCTCCCGACAAGTATTTCAGTGCGGACCTGTATTTGATCGTGCGGTCTTGGAGCACCGGCATGCCCTCCCCTGTGAGGTCTTAAGTCACCTGATTCACGACAAATACCACTATTCACTCACGCGTCACCGACTGACACATTGACTGAATACAACTGAATAAAATCGTAGTAAAAACATTGTGATAAGCGTTTCAAATTCTTTCGCTTTTTTGTTTCCGATGCGATGAACTGATAAGGCGGATTATATCCGTTGTCGCCAAACACGAGCACATAATATTATTATTGAGGCAGGGCGGTACTCAAACTTCTAAAGGGCTATAACTTTGTTACTTTAATTTTACCAGAAAAATGTTAAAGGAAAAAAACGTTTCTTTTGATCAGATCTACTCACTGTTAAAATAAATGACTCAACTTCGAAGTCACCCTGTATAGACAGCCTGGCCTTGAGACGATATGTTTATTTTCTTGACGTAACCACCAAAAACCGTAAAGGAACCAGCACTCCATTCTGCTTAGTATGAATGTCGCATTTTATAAATATTTTATGGCAGCTTGGCAACCATGCCTTTTATTTGTAAGGCAGTAATAGTCCAAGCGCCAACCGCAAGGCTTGGTTACATCGCGTATTGATATAAAATGTTAAATTTTATTACGCGATGAGGTAAGAAGAAATTTACGATCGGCTTTCCTACTATAATGCAGCTAACTTCCAATGTCACTGGGGCCGACCGGCGGACTATAAAGACATTCCACGAAGAGATATAACTACTTCTTGGTAAGAGACTAATGAAGCAGAAAATAAAACAACGATGGCACAATCATCTGAAACGAGAGGTGGTGTTCAACTAATTTACAAGAACGATATTCTCTTGGTGTTCTGCAAATCAAGATCATTAGCTGATTCAAATAGCTCACAGTCGTATGCCAACTCATTTAATATATTTTCCTATTGGCCAATTAGGACTATATTCTTTTCTGGATTATTCCTATAATTTTCTCGGTTTGTTAGATCCAAATTGCGAGACAGCATTCGGGCATCGCCTGAGCAGGGTAAGCTTCATTATTACATTCCGTTCATTTAGACACGTGCACGTACAGCTTCGTTAATAAAAACTGTCATGGATTTTACAAAATCTGCCTTGGGTTACATAAAGAAGATACGAGGGCGGACCGATTAGTACTCCAATTCTGACAAAAGAGGGCCATCAACCGAAAACAATTCTTGAGAAAACGGTGATGTACCATTATGTAACAATAAAATTTGGCCGAAACCGTGAATCTATAAAAGACGATCCCAGAAGTGGAAGAACCGATACAGTGACAAATAATGCAATGATTCAAAAAGTTGAAGTCATGGTTCTGGAAGATCGTCGTGTGGATGTCTTTACCATAAGTATTATGGGATATAAGACGATGATAATGATAGAACGATGAACGTGAAAAAGGCAATCCCACCTTACAAGTGAACCTTTACACTTTTATAGTAAATAAACAATGTCCCGATGGCTTCAATGTCAGGATAATTTCAAAGCCACTTATTTGGTGACGTAACGATATAGTGTTCTTGGCGAGAGATAGGGTCGATAGAATAGGGTTGTCGGTTCCAAGCTTGTTTTTGGGAAAACCTTTTGAGTACCTTCCATATTCTACCGATTCATGGCATGCACAACTCTACTGTCTATTCATTATATTAATTAATTGTAATTGAACAGAAAACATGATGCTTTTCAGTTATATTATCAGATATTAAAACCCATTGCATGGGGGAACGGTAGCTTCCTACCGCATGGAAGTCACGTCTGATATGGAAGTACCTTGCACAGGGAAACGGTTTTCGTTTCATATCTAGGTAGACTTCTTTTCTAGTGTCCCTCGTATTTACAGTAGAATTGTGTAAATACAGAAGGTATGCCAGTCGTTCTCAACGGCCGAAACTGTAGACTACAGAGCGCCAATTCAAAAATATCAGCTCTAGTCGGAAAAGCAATTCGTGGAAAATTTCTGGGAATAAGATGCAAACAGCGTCTTATGTAGGCCCTGTACACGGCACGGTTGGGTTTTGTTTTCGGCGGTTCTCCAGTGGCAAAGCTTGTCGGCAAACCTTTTTTAAACATACACGTATGAGAAATGTATTTTTAGATAGCATCCAATGCTGTTATACTATATACTAAGTGACATAGAAAAGAAGACACCCAGTAATAATGAACTAGTAATGACCAGTTGTGCTTTGTAGCTACAATTGGCATTTGGTGCCATCCGGGTGCACAGAAGTCTAAAAACTGTGGTAGTTTGTAAAAAATGCTTTGGAGAGCATGGACACCATATATCAATGCGAATTCTTTATCTCCGGAACAAAAATTTTTTATTCAGTTGATACCGTCCTCAGTTTTTCCATCTTCCCACTCCTGACTGGCTTGTAATCTAATCGTTGGACGAAAATACCCCTAGTTTGCGAAATAATTGTAAAGTCTGGTTTTATTGATCCAAGTTGTTCAAGGGGATATTTAAAACATGAACGCATAAAACGGGTACACCAATTTTTGTGGTAAAAATTTCAAATAGCTGCCTGAAATTATCGTCGAAAGTGTCGAAACCTGCATTTTGGCTCGGTTTTCGGCCATAACTTTTTCGCTATTAGTGATATATTTTCACGTGTGATCTCATTCTTTAGGTCTCATAAATACCTAAAAATCTTATTTAAAGAGTGTTTCTGCCAACACTTTCGACTGGATCCCAAAAAACGGGTTTTCTCATTATTTGTTGTCGAATAAAAAGTTTTCCCACAAAAATTAGTGTACCCATTCTACAGGGTCTGTCCGGAAAGTAATAGGACTGAGTCGATTTAAAAAAATTTATTGAGCCAATCGTTACAATTCTTTAAAAACTTTCAAAATAGACAAGATTCTCTGTTTTGTATTGAAACGCATCTGCACCACACTGGAATTATGGTAGCGGTACGGAAGCAAATTTTCTTATCTTCGTAAGCAAAGTCAATACTTTGAAAACAGCTTGTGTTTGAAGTCCATAATGAAGTTTAGATGCGTTATGAAAGTCTTTTGTTATTTGACATTAACTCCACCGCCAATGCATCAACTCTCAGAAATTATGTGTTAATTTACATTTTTTTTTGTTTCAGGTTGATAAGCGGTGTGTTAACAAATCTTACCAAGGATACATTTGATGTTAAAGCTCTAAGAGCGTTTAGGGTTCTCCGACCATTAAGACTTGTTTCCGGCGTACCAAGTAAGTATTGCTGAAATTATTAGTTTATCATGCTGTTTTCAATATAAATGATCGGTATTACTGTGGATCCGTCTAGGGAAAGTTAGTAAATATCGCAGTAATGCACGGATAAGCACCAGGTATATTGAGTATCCCTGGATATATTTATTATAAAATATATTCTTGACCCCGACGTTTTCTCTTTAAAGCGACTTTATAGTATTAGTTTATGAACAATATTGTATGTTATACATACATTCTATTAATGTGCGAAAAGTTAATCACCGACTGTAGATCAACTTTAAGTACGAAAGAACAATATTAAAAACGCCCATATTTAACAAATTCCTTTCTTCTTTTGGTTACATAAGCGATTCAGCAATTTTAACACTCTCTAGTAATATTTAGTTATTTACTTTTTTTCATTTTAGTAATATCTATTTTTCTCCAAAATACACAACCATTCACATACAATTTTATATAAGACAAATAAATGAAGAGCCCGCAGAAGGGTGGCCCTTGTGCGCGTGTAAATAAATCGAAAATACTTTTACCGGTATACTAAAAATTAACCCCAGTAAAAGTTTCACTGTTTTGATATAATAAATTTTTGTCGCAGTTCTTCCTAGTAGCAGTCTAGTACATTTTTAGTTCATTGTTGAATAGCAAAGTTGAGTAAAATAGTGTTCTAAAATAAAAATTAGGAAGAAGAAATTGGTTTGTCAAGTTTACCTACTTGTATTTATCGAAAATGACATTTCAAATTGCAGACCAACTACACTGGACAACGAATTTTAGTTTTTTAATTGTATCTTGTGGGAAAAGTGCACTTCTTTGTTAATTTTGGGGCGCTGAATCCAAAAATGACAATAAAATAAAAAAATTAGTTGCGGTTTAGAAAAAAAACTTTTTATTTTTAAGGATATATTAAAAAAGGTAACAAGATTCATATACTTATAAGAATCACTATATGCGCTGTATTTTTGCTGTTCTTTTATGGATCGTTTCTGGAGCATCTCTACCAAGAGTCCAACAGTAGTCTGCAAGCATGGAAGGATTCCACTTTCCCTGGTACCTTTTTTCCATTGTTGAAATATCCTGATGAAAACGTTCGCCGTGCTCATCACTTACGGCTCCGCAATTGTCAGGAAAAAAGTCCACGTGTGAGTGTAGAAAATGTATCTTATGAGACATATTACAGCCCATCTTTTGATACGATGACAGCATATTTTTGACAAAGGTTTTATAGTTGTCAGCTTTTCTATTTCCCAAGAAATTAGTGACCACCAGACGGAAATCATTCCAAGCAGTTTTTTCAATACTTGTTAAAGTGTTTTCAAACTGTGTATCTTTCAAAATATTTCGAATCTGTGGCCCAACAAAAATACCTTCTTTAACCTTTGCCTCACTTAGTCTTGGAAATTTCTGACGCAGGTATTGAAAAGCTGACCCATCTATATCTAATGCCTTGACAAAGTTTTTCATTAGGCCCAACTTGATATGCAGTGGTGGCCACAAATATGCCATTGGTGCTCATCGTATTTTATGCATGTCAATAGGTACTTCATATTGTCATATGATTCTTTCATGTGAACTGCATACCCTACAGGAAGAGATGCTAAAATATTTCCAATATGCAATAACACTGCCTTTATACTCAATGTTGAACTGTCTATAAACAATCTCCATTCTTCTGGGTTATAGTTTATAGCCGCCAGTAAGCCGTTAATGTTACTGCAGAAAACCAAGTTATTCTCCATATTGAAAAATGGTTCTAAGTCTTTGTGGCGTTTACGAAAAACACATACCGAAACATCGTCTTCTAACAAGTTCCACTGCTGCAGTCTTGATCCAAGTAACTCTGTCTTACATTTTGAAAGTTCTAAATATCTTACAAGATCATTTAATTCTGACTTTGTTATTTTGTGCGGTTGGTGGCATGACGTGCTCGGTATAAAATCAGGATCTCTTGACGTTGATGGCATATCTTCTTCCTGACGAATCACTCGATCGCCATGATCTGATTCGTTTTCTGATTCGCAAGTGTAGGATTCTTGGGGTTTTGGAATAGGATTTTCGTCACTGTGAGGCACAGGTCTCATCGCAGATGTATGTTTGGGTAGTTAATAACGGATTTTTTTTCTTGGACATACCTGTGGCTGCTCCAACACAAGGTACCATGCAAAAGTAACAATCATTAATATGATTTGTAGGCTCTCTCCAAACCATTGGGACAGCAAAGCGCATAGACCGTTTTTGCCATTTAACCAGCTTCTCAGACTTGAAGAACATGTATTACAGCAGATGTTTGTCTTGATCACCTAGTTTACAACCGAAATAAAGCTGATATGCCTTTGTTGTTAGTGGAGTAATAGACCGTCTCTGAGACGCAAAAGTCACATCACCACACACGTAACAAAACTGATCTGGATTGTTTACACACTTTCGAGACATCTTGCATGAACGCTGTCAGTCAACTGAGGAAAAAATGGCTAATATAAAACAATATAATGTACACGTATGTATAACGTAACACAATCATGCCGATTACATCATCTTTCCTTGCCGAATATAAAAATGTAGCACGTGCATTCTTGTGAATTACAGTATATTAACACTGTCACAGCAGGAACACATATAATTACCGTTTCTCTAAAACTTGAACTAATATTGAAAAAATAAGTTTCATTCCGGTTTTAGCACATTAAACATAGTAATATTTTGTTGATTTTATTTAGGATATTTTTTGGCTGTTGATCGGTGCTATCTGATAATATTTTGCAAAAAAAAGCAATCAGATATACTGTTATTTCTAGGCAGAGCAACAAAAGATAGATTAAAAAAAAAGACAAAAAAATAGTATTTCCAAAACAGTGAAACTTTTACTAGGGTCATTCTTTGATATGTTGTAGATCTACGCTTCGGCTATCGTCCCTATTTTTTTGTCGTACTATTTACCGGACTATATACGATGACGTAATACAATAAAATGTTTTGATTCCAGTTAACGGTTTTGAAGATATAAAGAATTGATGTTTCATTTTTGGTCACGACTTGTGAATCACCCTGTATACATATGGATTTTAACTCTCGGGACCTCGTGCAGCCAGGCTTTTATTTGCTTTTTGAATGAATTCAAATTATTTACTTTTTGTGGTATTGAAAATTCTTGGACAGAGAAAAAACCAGAACCTCTGCATAAGTGTTCTTTCCGGCTTTTGGACTACATAATGAGACAGCATTTTGTGACGGGTGGCATAGTAGTATCAATGAGGACCTATTTTTGTACTGACAAGTAATGAGATTGTACGTGTACAACTGTCTGATGTCAAAAACCTTTATATCAACTGTCAAGTCACAACATAAATTGACAAACTGTACACTAAAAATTTATATATCACAGAGGGAAAATATTGATGACTTGACCTTTGAAAACGTATACAGCTGACCCAAAATGTAACTGTTTTCTGACGGGATATTGGAAACGCTGCAGCAACAAACAAAAAATCTCTATTGGGCGAGAGCTTTCGGTCTTTCAGCAGGCAATTCATCAAACATACACACACATATTGCTTTTCGCTTACCCATATAGATGATATAGCCTAGGCAATATAAACAATCTAGAATACAAAATTAAATGGACTCTAAATTTTGCATTACACACACGAACATATCAAAGTCAAGGGATCGCCATATACAGCCAAGTTATTGATGGTTCCTTATTCACTAAAATTTTAACAAAAAATGTGTACGGCATTGTTAGTGGATTTACTGTTATGAACTCTTAATGAGCAAAAAACTGTTACTGCTGACTGGTATACCACCATTTGTTTGCCAAAAGTCATCACCGAGCTTCGAAAAATCAACCCTAAAAGAAGAATCATCCTCCACCAAGACAATGCAAGCTCGCACACAGCCCAAAAAACAAGGCAGTATTTAAAGGAAGAAAACGTGGAATTATTGGACCATCCTCCATATAGTTCCGATCTAAGTCCTAACGATTTCTTTACTTTCCCGAAAATTAAATACAGACGGCGTAGTCAAAAGTTCCAGTCACCAGAAGAAGCGGTTGACGCATTCAAAAATGCCGTTTTGGATCTGCCAGCAAACGAGTGGAATATGTGCTTCGAAAATTGGTTCGATAATCTTCGTGGAGAATACTCCGAAAAACAATAAAGTCATTTAAAACTACTTACCGTATTGTTTTATTTCCATATGCAAAACTTAAAAGACATCCCTCGTACCTAGAGAAAAACAGTAACAAAAATTTTGAAATAGTTGTAACTTTCTGTCTGTCTTTATAATTTTTTTAATTTTTTAATAAAAGCCTTGAAACTATAATAGCACCACACAATAGCATTTTCAGTTTAATGTGTAATATATTTCTTTGAGGATGTATTTGTTTGAGAATACGTAACCCTAAATTTATGCTAATGGTTACAGTTGGTAATGCAATTTCATTAACTACTAATTGACAAATGTTTTCTGCTATATTACGCTTGTTTTTTGACCAAAAGATTTATTAGCATTCAGTGTCAAGTTATGAGTCGCTGAGATATTGAAAAGTAAGTCCAGATCGTTGTTAATTACCGTCCAATCGCATATCAGTTATAAATACAGTAAAAAAGTTGTTCGGTCCGAAAACACAGGTTCTTTAGTTTGTTCCTCAATTTGAAATTATTGGAGCTATTTAAAAGACAAACGCGATATATACTAAGTGACATATAAATCCGAACACCCAGTTTAAATGGTTTTATTTTAATAAAATTTTGTATAAGTACGTAATGAAGCATAATAAGTACATGATAAAAATTTCAAAATGATTGCACTGCTTTAAAGCCCTTTGACCTTTAATAATGTGTGGATGCACCCTGATGTGCTACGCATTCTCCAACGCGCCTAGGCATGCTTCTGATCAGGTGGTCATTGTCCTCCTGTGGTATCTCATTCCAGGCAACCACCAACTCCTCTCGAAGTGCTTCTAGAGTCTAAGGAGGACGTTGCAAATTGAGCAATCTCCT